TCAGATCTCTTAACAAATAAATCCTTTAATATTTTTATCATGCCTGAGAAAAGTATTGAATTTCGATGCCAAAACAACATTTATTTACAATTATCTACATGATGATGTGTCTTAAATCCACTGTAATTTTATAACAACCTTTGTAAACTACGGGATAAATGATTGAAAAAGAAATTCAAAAAAGTGTACAAATGTAAGTCAAATATTGAAAGAATAGTGAAGCGTTCGTTCGTATTTATATTGTCCAGAAAAACACAAATTCAATAATATTATGTACTAAGACGGACTGTTATATACTCTTATTGATAAATTCGACGAAAAAAAAAAGCCCAGCGATATTTTTGGTATTTTGAAACGCACAAACTGTCAGTGACAAAACTGACTTTGAATTATCAGCTTGAAATCGTTCACTTATAGCAAGAACATGTCCATTTTAATTGTAAGTAAACATTTCAAACGAAAATAGACGATTAGATCGACATTTCCATTCAGCCATTGAAAAGACTGAATGTTTAAGCAACTCTAACGATATCAACTGGAAAACGGAGACACGTTCAAAATGCCACGTTCAAAATTTGTAATATTTATTTTTACTTGTTTTTTCTTACTGTAGATCTAGAGTTGTCATATTCAACTGCAGAGTAAACAGCAGAAACAGTGTAATTTATTTCGACTAATTTTTGAAATTAGATTTATTAAACCCTTTCATTGCGTTAGGAAAACCATTAATTTATAAAGATAGCCGTAAATTGTAAATACAAGTAGAGTAATAAAATCTTTGCGATCCTCTCGCAACAAAATAACAAGAAAATTGCAGACTCGGTTTGATTAAGTCTTTACATAAGAGATAATAAATTATACAATTATGAATCATTCAGGCAATAAAAACATAATGTTTTTCATAAACAAAATAAAAGTGAATTGAAGTGTTTTCAAGAGTGTCAATAAAAATGTATTAAGAAATTTTAATGCATGTAAAATAAATGTTTGTGAAAATATCAGGATAAGCTTCCGATGTTAGTTTATAGACTTTAGAAAACCAAATACTCATTTTTAACGATATTGCTTACATTACAATTTCATTCAAAGGAGAAATGGAGTATAAATTACGGGATACAATAATTCTTTTCGATGTAATATGTGTAAATTCACAGTTTATACAGCCTTCAGAATATCGATGTTCGTTGACTACAAATAAAACGAGTATCGTTACATATATGCTCGCAATTAAGTTTGCCTAAATGGTCTTGTAACAAGTTTGTATTTTTCTTTGTTAAATGGTATCCCGGAAAGGAGGCTATCTTAAATACTACCATTTGATAGTTTAATCGCTATAGTAATTCCTTATTTTATGATAATATTGGCCTTTCATACATTTACTAATAGCTCAATATTCTATGGTGCCGTAGTTTTTTTTATCGAATTGTGTTCAAAAAGTTATGTGTGTGTATCAATTTCATTTTTATAACAAATCCATCAATATTTTAGTTCATATGTCCATGACATGAACATATAATGGTAAACAATACAGAAGTTAAAGTATGATAAATTATAAATTGTTTCAATATTTAGGGAAACGGCTTTGAATATCAATGATTTATCATGGGAAATAAATGCTGTCGTAGCTGAAATATAATAGATTGGGAAATACTTATCGATTTAGAAAGTAGCGTAATAACACCCAATTGTATATTTTTTTTTATTAACGACTAGCATTTCCTTTGCTGTATTTTTTACAGTTAATTTGAAGTATTCATTTGTATCAACCACAGTACAATAAAGATAATGTATTCCGATTTTTAATTGATGATTATAATTGGTTACTCAAATATCAAACACTAGATGAAAACAAATAAGTGATTATTTAAACGTTGATTTTGAACATTTTATAGTGCCTCGTTGGATATCTAAAATAAAACCAAGTTATATAAAATAGTTGATATACTATTTAAAGGTTAGATTAAAACACCTGTTAAGTTTAGAACTTTAAAGTTGCATTATGCTCATTTGTTCATTGTCAACTTCAGCAGCTGAATGGACTATATACATGTATTTTAAAATATTGACAGTTGAATAGCGATTGACTTGGAAAATGTTTAGGGTAAAATGTATAATTACTGCCCAGCCCTTTTCTTTTTCCAAAAATTGAATGTTACAGGTAAATTCCGAAGGATACTTGCAGAAATTTCAATGGCCAATGTGAGTTATCTATCGTTCGAAATAAATTTAAAAAAATGGAAAAATGTAAAGTTATTCTTGCTTTCATCTGTTCTTTCACGAATAACTTTACATTTGTCTATTATTATATAGTATTATATAATAAAATATAAATAATCATTTACGAATCACGTTGGCATCAACAAGACTTACAGGTTATTTTACACCAAATGTACAAAATGGGACACGTTTTATTAAATGCAAAAACAAGGATTGAGTTTATATACTGTTAGGTAAAATAATGACATTTTTAATAAAATTGAGAGACATATTAAAGGAAGAAATGCTAAAATCAAACATTGTTAAGAACTGTTACATAATATAGATCAATACATGTATCAGCGTTTTACAAAAATCTTTTTTTTTTCAATTCCATTCCTAAAAATATAAAACGGATTATCGATAATCAAAGAAAGTAATGCAAAGAATGAGAAGATATTTAAGCACGTCTGTTAGTTCTCTATACATTATATTGGAAATCTGTTTTACACTTTCGGACGATTCTCTTGCCGTAAAGTCACTGAAAACAGAACGCGTCCTGTCATTTGTGGGCGATATGCGAGATTGCCTGCATGTTTTATTGCAGAAAACTAGGATACTACAATCTTTTTTATTGTGCATGTGTTTTAAACAATTATTATCGTAGATAAACTGTGTTGTATTCTTAGATATAAATTTGGATAATTATGCAATGTTTATTATAGAGATAAAAATATCGTATTTTTTTCAATATGTTACTTGAATGGATATCTGATTGCGGTGAATTGGAATAGATAGTATTTTGATAACTTTATTACAGGTAAATTAAATTCATTTTACTTCGTATTCCTTATAATATTATTATAAAATGCAAGCCTAATATAATGTACCTTTTAGTATATGTGCGTTGTAAAAATGAGACATTTTTAAAGCAATTTATTTTAAACTGTTGCACTGCTGATGACAAAGTAAATTAAATTAAATTAAATAATAATGATGTTGATTTATTTGATGTATCGGTATAGCATAATTCTATATTTCTTATATTTATACACTAATCTTGTTTCTAATAATAAAATTAATTAAATTGTATATTTTCTGATTTGCAGTGACAATTATTTCCTAAATTTACAAGAAAATTTCAAGGAAAATCTCTCCGCCAGCACACAAAAAATAAAATAAAATAAAGTAAAATAACCCAAACAAATAGATTGTGCGACAGACATGTAATTTAATATAAGCTATACGTGAGTAGGTAAGGCATTTGAATCATAGTGTCTTCTAAGCTCATTACAAATAATCTGATATCTATATGATATATCAAACATTTTTAGTGATTTATTGGAATTTCCTTGAGCTTAAGCCTACAACACAGACACATAGATCTGTTTTAGATTTTGATTTGAAAGTGAAAGTTATGTATATATATATCCGTGCTTTGAATGACTGTCACGATATTGAAATGAACAAGCTCGTCATTTCTGAATAATCTGAGAAATTGTCAGGCGTGTTCATCTAAAGGAGAACAAAAAAAATCATATTAACTTTATTTCAAGTTATAGCATCAGAAAATAAGTGATTTGATTTTGTGAAAAAAGACGAAAGACGCATTAAGTTGGTTAAAACAAAACATATTTCTTGCGTACGAAAAGGATAGGAATGGTATTCAAAAATAATATTTGATATTATTATTGTACATGGTTTTGTATTTTTACTAACAATACCAAATAAGAATAAAATACACTATTTTTCCTGTTTTTGAACAAAGTGTTTGAGACTTAGATTATTTTTTGCGACAGTTATGTTGACAATAACAAATAAGTATTTCGCTACCGTTAGATTATCCAAATATGTTAAGTATTTCGTAATTGAGCTTATTTGTAATGAAGACACTATTAATGGTACAAATAATTAACGTTTACATTAAATATTAAAAAAAAATACCAAAATGAGCTCCAAATCAAAAGTTTAAGGTATTTAGAATTCTACAAATTCTAAAAGACTGGTATATTGTGATTCGTGATTGGTGATAAAGCGGATGATACTGATATTTTACTGAAAATACTTTTGGCGATTTGTTTACGAAAACATTGTGTACAATGTGAACAAATAATTTGCAACAATCTTTTTAAAATACGTAATTAACTGAATAGAAAATGTGAAATAAATAAAGACAAAATTTCGATATGTCTGAGACTTTAACTGGAATTGTTTTACTTCTCAATAATAAACAATCCAGTAATTGTTTGTTGTGCAGTAAATTAGTGAACATTTTGTGAAAATACTACGTTAAGTCTTGTTATTTTTCAAATCATTGTTGTTGTAAATGTTATTGTAGGTTCTTTAAATCGTTATTCGGTTATATGTATGGAATGTTTACTTATTTTAGGAAACAGACTTGCAAACAATTGCTGGTATTTGGAGTATTTGAGGGAAATCGCTGCTCAATAATACAGTTCAGATATTGATGGAAATTACGAAATATCAATGCTGTTCCAGGCGAATGCTGTTCCAGCACTATAGGTAAAGAATGAGATATTTCAGAATTATTTAATCACCAAGGATTTGTAGTCCTGCTGTGAGCTTTGCGTGCTATGCCAACAAGATAAAAATTTGAATAAAAATCTGGAAAAAGAATAAACCTGTGTTTGCTGCATAACTTCTGATCGTAGTCTAGATTTACATGTTAAAGAAGGACATAAACTCATGTTAGTGAAGTGATAAAACTGTTCAATGTTTTCGTAGAAGTATTCTATATAATAGCAAAATATAATAACTACATAATGTGTTACAAATTCATTATTTTAAACGCTTTTTCTCACGAAAAATAAGTACATTTTCATGATGAAGTGGCGATTTGATAAGTTATAAAATTATGAGTACAAATTGCTCAATTATTGGTAAAGTAGTAATGGGATGTAAATGGTTATGGTCGAATATTCAGCTAGGTCGCATTCTGAAAGCATGAACTATGTGCACTATATCTGGATCCTTCTATCCATTCTTGTGTCTGTCACATGTTCGTTTTGTTTCCTTCAACCAGAGTGGATAATACATCCAAATGTTCGGAACGCGTTTGGAATATATGCTTTCTGTGTCGGTAACGCAGGATCTGCCCAATTCTCACGAACGTGTGGATTTTATGGTGGACGCTTTGGATTCGGAAACATTCCATGTACAATTTGGCAAGCAGCGTGTTTGCTGTACGGAGGTGGATCATTGTTCACATGTTTTGGAGCATTATGTTCCCTCACAACAATGTGTGTACGGAAAGGCTGGAATAAAACATTGGTACTTTCCACAAGATATCTACAAATATCTTCAGGTATATGAGTTTTTGTTTCTATAAATAAATAATCTTGTTTGAACTGAGAAAAGATAACTCATTGTTCTTAAAATCAGAATTATCTTATGTGTTTCAAAAATATATTGTTACGGTATTTATTTCAAATTAAATATAAATAGAGAAATATATATTTCAACCATTAACCATTCTTATTTATAAACTCTTTTATACCTTAACTCTTAACTCTTCTTTTATATCTATTTATGCGAGGAAAATAATAAAAAAAGCTGTTACAATGATAAACCAAGAATACTTCACTCCTACAAATACCAATTGTACTATAGACAAATATCTTGATATCTCCATTTGTCCCTTTCAGGGCATTAAGTAATCCGATAAAACTGAATATGTATTAATAATTCATGTAGGAGGTAATTAGAAATTTATTTTCTAAAAGTCTAAGTCAAATCTTTGAATGAATGCATATATTTTAATGATTACTTATAATGTGCAGAAAATATTGGCAGTCCATATGTTACATATTCTTTGATGTTTGAAAATTGTTTTATAAGCATAATTATATACATATATAAAATTTCACTTAAGTGTGGTAACAACCTCATTTATAACAAACAAGATATTTCAGTCGATTTCAATCAAAGTCCGAAGACAACACTTTTTTATGTTTATACTTGCGGTATCTTCACATATTAAATTTGAAAGAAAAGTTTGAAAGTAATATCTACGAAGATGGATTACTTTTTTCATTACATCCTGTAATTGTCATTCTGTATCATACATTTGTATCTGTTACAGTATATCAGTTAATGTGATTAATTTTATGATTATATTTCTGTTGTTTTAAATTATAAATGTGCAAAAAAAGTTTTCATTGCCCTTAGTTATCATCATAAACAAACATGTATTTTCAGTGTTCTTGATGACCTCTGGCCTTCTTGTTTTTCCACTTGGATTTGACTCCAACTACTTCCGGTTGTACTGCGGCGCAGGCGCTGATGTTTTCAACTCGGGAATATGTCACGTTGGATGGACATACGTTCTAGCTATAGTGGGAGCGGCAATTTCTATCTTTTGCCCGATTCTGTCGTATTTTAGTGCTGAAGAAACATCTCAAAACGAAGAGTTTGACTTTAAGATATAGTGACTTGAAATAAAATATGCATTGTAAGTTGTGGCTACTCAAACCTTTGTAATTGCCACACTTCAGTAAAACAATTCTGATATCAATCGTATAAGATAAACAATGGTTCGTTTTTTTCCGAAATACGTGTTAGCAATAAGGATATTTGTGAACAAGAAGTAATGGATGGATCCAATATGTTAACTAACTATCCGATTTAAGCGGTTTTACGCTATGTTGCTTAGAATAAAAACGCTTCAATATGATTCCATTGCTGATTTTTGGGTAGACTTAAATCAGTCTTATATTAATTTGTCATGTACATTATTTTCCATTTACCTTAAGTATCATTACCTAATGTTTCTGGATTCATGCATTGCAATTTTGCATTTATTACGACTGAATGAATTAAATACAAATGATTTATTAATGACGTGCATTGCCTGACTTGGGACTTTTATTCGAATCCAGATGGAACTAACGTATTGCATACGTGATTGCTTAACTTATTGCTTACATGTTGACAGATATGCACTTGTTTTGTACACAAAATAGATTTAAATGCAAATATCAAAATGCTATAGAAATAAAGTGTTTCTCAAGATTGTCAATTCTATTCCAGATATTTATATAACTTGTTTTTGTTTTGAAATTTTATGCTCTATTGAATCATTCGTTTTATTTGCTGAAGGTTATGATCTGAAATAAAAGTGATGCAATCGACTAGTTATTTTGAATTTAAATAATATATTTTTAAGTATACTAAATAAAAATGACAAGAACATCCTACTAGGGAGATCGTTTCAAAAATGTTCAAGGTATATACCAATAGACAATTCATGTTTGCTCAAACAAGAAAAAATGCAGCACAAACTCTCTAGATTTATGAGTGTATCAATTTATAGCCCAGCAAATTCAAACGCAAATTAACACATTGTACAAATGTACATAATAAAACCAAATAACAACGTTAATGACGGAGGTTAATGATGTCATTTAAGATGACAGAATATGCTTCTTTATATACTTTTAGTAGGAAACCATTGAATATTCTGAATTTTTATAGAACAAGAGTATGTTCAAATAAACACGCTATTATACATCATTCGTTTGTGCACAAAACGATTTTTTTGTCAACAGACAAAACGTGTGTTACATTGTTTTATTTAGTTTTAGATGTAACTATAAAATATCAATTATATACTTAACATAATAGATTTGTGTCGTATACAAAAATCTAAAAGATATACAAACTGCCAATATAAACTTATTAAAGATATAAAGGTAATTTTAGTTTTCTTATGGTTAAAAGAAAGTACGACTTATTCAAGATGGAGTTTCAAACGCCGTATTTGTGAACTTTATTATGATAATGAAAACACAGTGTAATGTTAAAGAACAAGAAGATAATTGTACAAATAAAAGGAGAAATTGTTTAAAGTAGATATACTTTATCAGGTTATAAATATGTTAACATTCCTGGTCCAAAGCGTTGCAGTAATGGCTTCTTATGACGGCACATTTTTTCTGGTATGAAAACGTTTTCAATGATATGCAACGCTTTATTTTGACAAAATGACTGGACATATTAGAAATGTAGAAAAATGAACCTTTAATATTATAAATTTTTGAAAAAGGACGTTAAGTGTTCTTTTATTAATTTTTGTTGGTCTCAACATTTTTTTTCAATTATTCTTAATTTACTGATTTGTTCTCCATGTTTTTGGACGATATCTATTTTACTGTAGTTCAAACGTGTAGTGATCTATAATCTTATACATGTAGAGACCAAATAATTCTTCGCAGTCAATGCAAAGTTTCTTGCTGAAGAAAAAACAGGCTTATTAATTAAGGTGTAAAAACGCTCGGCTAGCAACGTGTCAAACACTCGCCCACTTGTTTGCCTAAATACTGCAGCTGACTAGTGATTCATATGATATATTTATATTTCATAAAAACGATATGCTGCATGTTGCGTTTGTTGCATGAAATAAGCATTTTGTATTGGATCTTATTTACTAGTATGAAATATTTATGAAAGACATCAAAGCTTATGTATCAGTTTATAATGTTTGATTTATAACAAAAAGCAAGATAATATCCATTCATTTTTCATCTTAACAAAACACATGCCATAATAATTGCAATAATATTGACAGAAAGTATGTATTACTATTGACAAATAATCCCAAAGTAGAGTTGCCATAAAGAAAATTATATTAAGAAAATTGATCATTTCATGAACCAGAGCGAATCATATTTGAGAAAAAACTGAATATGTGAAACTGAGTGCGTTACAACAGGCATGCCAATTTGTTTCAATAAAGAGAATATTTTTTTCCAAAGAGTTAAAAAGATTTACCACATTACTGGTATGTCACTTTTGCACTTTAGCGGAGTTTAAGTATCTTATGGATTCGTCATGTTTACCGTCGTAACCTACTTAATATTATATCTTAAACGTGAGAATTATTTAAAATTTGAGAGTTGTTCTGATGTAGCAGTGTTTGTGAGTAAGGACACATGAATTGTTAATTCGCATTTATAAACATTTGCAACGTATTTGCTACGATCTTCTGCAGATAAGTGCTTTAGAGGAGGGTAATATAAGGGATAAAACAACAACAACAACAAAACAACAACAACAAAAACACACACACTACATGCAGAGCAGAAATGACTTTTCCGTAAAAACTTGTGACTATAATAATACTTTATCATCAAAAATGACATGACGTATTGCCTAGATCCCACATATATGAAATTGTGAAATAAAACAGACGTTGTTTTACTACAATTCATCATGCTAACATGCGATTGAAAGACCAGTAAATGTTTTACTCATATCGTTTTAAAATAAATATATTTTCCTGTCCACCTCCGCACGAACATGTTTTGTTTTAGCCATTTACCAATATCATGTAATTATATGGTCAGCAATCTAACATGCCTACTCTAAACTGAAGCGCTTAAAATACGTACATTGAATCCATAAATGTTGCATAAAATCTGCGCACACATGTTTAAATTTAAAAGAAAGAAAATATTACAAGTTGTTGATATCCGTGACTTAGGTTGACATCAAAAAAGGACATAATGCTATGACGATTCCGGTAGTTTCAGTATCAAATACATGTTTGTCAAATGACATTGCACGAGCATGTGAAAAGCAGAACGAAACCGATATTCTTAATACGAAAACTTATCAAAGGTTAAATAAAATACGGTCACTTTTAATGCTGTCCCACATCACTTGATACTTGTTGTTGTATATACAGAAATATTGCGAGGAGGAGATGCCTACACATTTAAGTTGTATATTTACATAAACAAAAAATGAAGTATTTGTTAAAATTCTTAAGGTTGGAACATGACCTTTTTCCGGACGATTATAATAACGACTTTATTCTTGCTTTATTAATGTTGAAATTTAATATGGGTTATCAAAATGATAATATTTTATAGAGAACTATTCTAACAATCACAGTTGTCTTAACGTCAGATTCTGTATAAGATTCTGTGATATCTTTCACACTGGCTACCTAAATTATAATTTCGATTAAATACAAAAAAACATGTCATGCAATTAAAAGATATTTCTGCCAAGCAAAACGTATATTATTGTCTGAAGCCCTCGGGACCATTATTCATTTTGCGGGCCGATTATCACCTTCCGGTCCTACTCTGCCGTGTATTAATCTCTTACTAGTTTACACGGAATGACACTCTAATACCTGAATATCATTCCAAATAAAAAGCAATCAAAAACATGTACAATCAATGTTGTATTGACATAGGTATACTGTTTACACGCGTTTCGCAAATAATCTTTAATTATCTTAATTTGTCTCAGAGTCGTTTAAATATTATGTCATGAGATTCATGTTTAATACGTAAATCCGTAATATTTTATTACTTTAAATAATAATGAAGAATATACATGAATTAAGACATACAAATTAGCTGTACAAAAATATACAATTTTGACAATTGTTCTTAAAGTAGCAACCAGATAAATGTATTTTATGGAATAATAAACAAACAGCTATTGCCATTAAAATATATTATAAGAACATGATAGAAAGTGATGAGCTATACTTTTAACTCTAAGCAATCATTTAGAGTCACTTAGAATAATAATTTTTACTAGTTTGTCATAGAGATTTGCTTGAAATGCTTCAGTCGTTGTATAGCTGGAAAGACACCGCATGATCTTTTGTCGTTGTGACTTTATATAATATTAAACATGATCCGATATAGGCTGCTGCGTTTGAGAGATGACATTGTGTAAATCTTGTATGTGTTAAGAAACGAGCTTAAACCATTGTTAAACAATATTGGCCAGTAATGATCTTCTCTACGACGCTTTTTTCACTATCTCTGTATTTGCTTGTAATCTTTATTTCGATATCATTACGTTAATTGTCGGCTTCAAATGTATTAGGACACACATTAAACAAAAGGCTTGTCTACAACACAAATTAATTTAGGGATGTTTCATTTTTATGTATTTTGTCTGTGATATGTCCCTCTACCATTTTGTATGCGTTTTTTTCCAGTTGATCTTTATAGGAGACACTAAACATACTATGTTACATAAAGTGACATTATGCTCATATTTTCATATTCAAGTTGAGCTGAATTGACTATATATTTCAAGATATTGACTGTTAAAATGGTGATTGACCAACAGTTCATATTGGAAAAAGTATAAGATAAAATTTAAAATCTGCCTAAAATATAAAAAGACTGCCCCACTCTTTTTTTGAACTGAAAGTTACAGGTAAATTCTAATGGATATTTAAGAACAAATCGTTTTGATCCATGCGTTGTTTATTGTTAATTTGAATTATGGCAAAATGAAAACTTATTTTGACTTTCACCTGTTCACTCATTTATACACTTGGATGGGCATAATGTCACTTTAATGCGTGCTCTGTTTTTTCACAGTACTTTTATTTTGCAAACCCTTTTTATCCTTTTTCGTTTACCATCTAAACCAAAAAAAAAAAAATACCAACTTTATTCAACGAATCACACCTCTGTTTGTTTGATTATTTGCAGAATTAAATAATTATGTTCATTAAATGTTTTTCAATATATAATGGATTGAAGGATATCAACTTGTTTTGAGTTTAATATCCTTATTTAAAACCACAAATACTTTTAAAATTCCATATAAGGTTAAAAATGCATCATTTACCATTGCAAATTGTTCACAGTTGTTTTTATTTATTGTAGATATAGGTTTACTCTTTAGAATATACAACTCAAAAGCAAACACAAATGACAGTGTATTTCGTAGCGAATCTGATTAAAATCATATAATACTGTAAACCAGAACAATTTCTTATCGATAAAATAGTAGAAACGTAGTAGATCTACTTAAGAAATAAAGAAAATATAAGATGATACATAAAACATAAACAGAAGAAGAGAATTTGCAATTAAATATATTTTATGTTCCCATTACACTTGAAATACATGTATACAATGTAAAGTTAAACAGTAAAAAGAATAGAAATTTTATGACATCAATTTGAGACTTTGCAAATGATTAATAATGCTGTATGATCACAGTTTTTTTGTTAAAGTATATCTAGTAAATTTCATAACTGAACAGTCAATACAAAATCAAGGATATAATTAATAATCAATAATATGAGTACAATGATGATTTGAACGTGAACAGTCGTAATAAGGCACAAAATAAAATTATTCTA